AAAGCCATGGCATATTAACATTGTGGAAACTGATACTTGGCTTTTCATAGATTTCATAAACTGTTAGCCATGACTTTGTAAGAGTGTTTTATAGTGGTGCAGTGGTAAAACGTGGGTAAACTAGCCTCTGGTAATTTCCATATGAGAAAAGGGGGTAAAACTACATTTATCAGCGTTAACCCTCGCCCACCCCACTTGCTTGTTCCAATCTCGTTCTCTTTTTGTCTTCAGGGCAGCAGATCCGCAAGTTGATTAAGGATGGCTTGATCATCCGCAAGCCGGTAGCGGTGCACTCGCGTGCACGCTGCCGGAAGAACCTGGAGGCGCGGCGTAAGGGCCGGCACATGGGCTACGGTAAGCGTCACCCTGGTGCCCCCCCCCCGTACCCTGCGCTGGGCACTCCGTCTCTCTTCTTAGTGCTCTACATTTTCTCACACCCTTAGTGTATGCGTATGTTTGTAAAAGAGCCATGCCCAATGTTGTCCTCTTGAAAAAGCTGCCGACCATGTGATAATTTTAATAGTTGGCAGGAGTTACTTGAAATCTGTGTGCTTATGGGGGTGCTCTTGAGTGTGTGAACACCAATTATAGGTGGGAAATGATGCAAGGCCTGAGGTAATGTGTGTGTCCCAGGATGCCCCATGTTTTCTATCTCTCATGGTTGCATGAATCCTGTGCTAGCCCTGAACAATGCAATATTGATTGGTGTAGCTTTTAGAGTGTAAAAGTACCAAGTTGTAACGAACTAGTTGAATTTTAATTTACTGAATTTAGATGAAGCATCATAGCCACGCCTTTCTCGTGTTTATATTCTGCTGCCCTTGCAGGTAAGCGCAAGGGTACAGCCAACGCCCGTATGCCAGAGAAGCTGGTGTGGATGCGGCGCATGCGGATTCTGCGCCGTCTCCTGCGCAAGTACCGCGAGGCCAAGAAGATCGATCGCCACATGTGAGTTCCGCTCGCAGAAAAAGCAGGACCTTCTAAGAACAGCCAAATATAACATTACAACACGTTCAGTTATTTTTGTTGCGTGAATGTATGTGGTTCACGTCTTGACTGTTTTTACGAATGCCATTTTTAGGTACCACAATCTGTACCTGAAAGTGAAAGGTAACGTGTTCAAGAACAAGCGCATTCTGATGGAGCACATCCACAAGATGAAGGCTGACAAGGCCCGCAAGAAGCTCCTCGCGTAAGTGGCCGTTGCTAACCCGAGAATTTAGAAGTGTTGCACTTTCCTGGCTTTTTTGATATATGGTGCGTTCTCACAATCATGGATTAACACGTGAACATTTGTCACTCGCGGTAAACCTAACCCACGTGCATCCGGATTGCTTTGCTCTGCAGTGACCAGGCAGAGGCTCGTCGCTCCAAGACAAAGGAAGCACGCAAGCGCCGTGAAGAGCGCCTCCTGGCCAAGAAGGAGGAGATCCTGAAGACTCTGTCCAAGGAGGAGGAGAGCTCCAAGAAGTGAGCCTTCCCTGCTGGGGAGGTCAACTCGCATCATCAACCTTGTATCTTCTCGTCAGTCAATAAACTATGAAAACCCACACGCATTGTCTCCTGATTTTGATGTTGAATGGGAGTTTTGTTGTACTTTGACATGGTATAATGGGTTACCCCACTGAACTTGAAATCCAGAGGCCGCTGACAGCTGAACCGAGCACCGAGCAGTATAATGAGTACATAACTGTTGCTTGTCAGAGGTCAAGAGCTGGTATTACTATCCCTCTAATGGAGGCATTTTGGCCACCAGTGGCTGAAGCAAGACTTTAGGTTTTCTAGGGCTGTGTACCCCATCGTGCTGGTTTAGCTTAGAAAGATTCACGAGTATAAAGACTTCCAAAAGGTATTGCCAAGTTTTTGCACTTAGGGATTGCTATGTACCATTAAACATTACAGTACTAGCATTGCTCGTGCATTGGCACAATATAAATGCCTTTTTACGGATTTTGTTTGTACCCCTTGTAATTTGTCTTAATTAATGAGGTGTATGCTTTAAAGTTATGAATGAGATGGGTAGACAACTGGAGGTACTTTGGATCATTGATCTTGTGTTCAAGAGTTGACCTGGGCATGTAAAAACCGGTTCAGGTAAGTGCAATCTAATTTTCTTGAATGGCGCTGGTGTGATCATTGGAGTAGAGGCCACACGGATTTGAATTGAATGCATAGTAAATGGAATTGTGAGGTCCAACTGGTAATGATAAATCAAGCTCCCATTCAAGCGGCGTTAAGTGAAGTTGCACTGACATTGAAGGCGCTTATGTTTCACCAATAACACTTCCTGGCATCCACTGAAGCACATCACATCCGGTTTGATCAATGTAGTGCAAAGATTGACAAGAAATGATGGGTTGTACGTTCTGAGTTTTGTGGGAAAGCCAGTATTTGGAAATGTCTTCAAGAACCATATTTTTTCCTACGGCGTACCGTTTGGGAGGTACGTCATTCGGTACGAACTGTATGCTGCCTGCGGCACGTAATTGAGCACGCTTTTTTTACCCGAGCTCAATTACCTCAAAGCCCCACCCATGGCACGTTATGTTTTACACACTGATGTCATGGGATCTTTGATGTCCACTGCAGCATTGCGAATATTTTTTTAGGTTTATACATCTACAGTATTAACGAGGGAAGCCTACAACAAGCGGCTACCGGCGTCGTGTGACCACCCCACCTTGATACAATGCCAACAGCAAAACGTAAGTAATTTAGGTGCTCAAATATTGCTTAACTTCAATATTCAATTGTGCCAACGAGTTTAAGAAGTCGTGAGTCTGGATGGGAATGAGCTCATAAACCTCCCACCACTTGAGATACAAAGAAGATTTGGACAAGATTAGGGTTTTTATTTCGATTTAAAGAAATAAAACTAAAAGTTAAATTCTCACGACGTTTCGGCCACAACACAAGTAGCCTTCAGGTGAAGGAACAACTGTCGGGACGACAGCGCTTCAATGAACACTGCTAAGCTTGGCAGCGTCTTTTAAGCTGGGTGGGAGGAGCAGAGCGCCTTGACAAAGGAGTTTACATAACAATAATTTAGCACTGAAGTAGCTGTGTTAATGTGTTGGATTAGCACGGTGTTAAAGTCAGAAATTACCATGTAACTGGAAGATTACCATGATAGTGTGAGGTATTAGCATGTAACTGGTCACGGAAGTAGCTATGTTAAGGTCAGAGTTACATAACAGGCATTTAGTATATTGGGTTTATTTGCATATTTCATAAATGCTCTGCAGCCGACACCACTACCCAAGTGTTGGGACAGGCGTGAGGCTGCATTGTGCAAGTATGGATGTGTTTGGCCGTGTGAGTTTTAATGCGATTAAGCTTGCGCCTTGGGAAGGTGCTCAAGTGTGTGGCGGGGAGTCGTGGTTCAGCCTTAAATGGGTTAATGGAATTGTGTGTAAACATCACTGGGGAGAGGTGGCAGTGTGGTGTGTGGACCCACCATGCTGGTTGGGGGATCTTTACGTTTTGAGGCGTGGTGGTGGTCTCGAGATTTACTGAACCACAACCCAACTGACCGGAGTTTCATTCCGCAGATAGTGGCAATTCGTATCTCAGCCTGGCCTGGCCTTCCCAAGCTTGACTTGGCTTTAAACAAATATCTCGTGCAGGCAGTTCTAGGCTTGAATGTTACAAACGACACTTGCCGCCTATAGTGGTACCTTGTATGCATCATTTTGTGAGGTATGCATACGCGCATTTCTGTGTACCATGTACACGTGTTGTTTTTTTGGTCTGCCATTGCATAACTTTTAATGTTCATGTGTTTGAAGGTGCACACGTGTCAAGATTGGCACAAATGCACAATTAAACACAGTACAAGCGAATCCCTACGTTTCCATTTGCAACACGTTACCCCAACACGAGGTATACACTTCGTGATCATGGAAAACGTCGGCCACTGGTTCCACATTGCATTGCTCTGGTACATGTTGATATGACCTTCATTTGACTTGTGGGTTGCAGACCGTTCCCTTTGTGCCTTCCTCATGTCTTTGCAAAGTGAATTGCTGGATCGCACTAAACAAATGTACTCGCCCATGTTGCAATGTTTTTACACGAGAGCACACAGAAAATCAAAGCGCGGTTAATAATAACACCACAACTGCAAGCAAGAACAAATTATCACAAGGGCTTCACTCAATTTTCCACGAAACCTTAAGTACACAACCTAACCTAAAGACCTTTACTATTGGTCGCGAAAAGCCGACGTGTTAAACCAAATAACCTTTGTTTCTACCACAACGTGCTGAGGACAAGGTGTAACAACCTTTATAACTAGGTTAGCAGTCATTAACACAATTTTTTAGCATTGGCTGAATGAGAAAAGTTACGTTTTAAAAATACAGCTTTACATAATTAAGAAACTACTTTTAAAATAGGAAAGAAAAATAAGTATTTCAATAAAGAGATTTTTAAACCTAACCGTTTTCTTAAGACGTGTCTTTTAATCTCTTAAACATACAGATCCAATCACTGATATGGCTAAGGTGAACTTTGAAAGTCTGGTTATGGCTCTTATCAAACATTTTTAAACAGCTCCAAAGACTTTGACCTGCAGATAAATTTCACTCCTTGTAACATTTCACCCCAGAAACCGATAGAGCTGAAATTCATGAAGAGACGTTCAGGGAAGGTAAGATTCTCACAATGGTTCAGTTCACGAATCAAGATGAATATTTTCATTACTTTATAATTAATTTGTTGGAAACCTCAAAACAATGTGACAAGTTGGGCACTAGCAATGACATACATTTGGCCAGAAAATATATTAATGCATTCGATAAAAAAACCTTTCGAGTTGTTCAACAGTCTACCCTGCTTGCAATGTAACTTGGAAAGTGTGTTCTAAAATATTGGAGCTGTGCCAATCTGGACATGCCGATCAGTAGTTTCATCTCAGAGCATATCTCACACATTTCACAGTCTCCAGCAAAACCTGTGAGCAGGTTTTAACTTTGAAGTGCAACGAGAAGCAAACAGAATAGGTTTTAGTGACTTTTATTAGATGTTACATCACAATAATAAAAAAACAACTTACATCGAAATGAAAAGCACGACAAATGTTATTGATATTTAAAGTTCATGATTGGCTCAAAAGTCACCAGCATATAGTAGTAAGGTGTGTGGGTGGATGAGTGGGCTCACACTATCGACAGGACTTTACTAATATCCGTATTTCACCTTGAGTTCTTCCACCAGCGCAATGTATGCTGCTATGGCATCCTCCTTGCTTTTGCCTGAATTAATTAAGAGGGAGAACAAAAGAGTTTAGGATTCAATCCATCAAGCTGAAATAAGCGGTGCAAATTTGTAAGAGATAAGCGTGCTCACATTCCAGGGATTTGAAGTGGCTGTTACAAAAAGGGGAGCTATTGTTAATCAAGCAGCAACTTCTGATCCAATAGAATCGTGTTCAACAGGATTACCTTTCTTGGAGTTCCACGCATTCCATTTGGCCTTTCCTTTAAAGTCGAGCATGCCTGGAGAGTCTGCAATCGGGGAACATTTTACGCGTGTAAAAAAAAATCTCAAAACGGTGGATATTCAAACAAGTCGGACAATTATTACGCTAGATTTTTTTATTGGTTCGTTTAAAGATTTTCCAAAACAAATCACACTCGAGCCGGCCGTCCCACAGCAGAGACCCAGCGGGTTTTGTTATTTTTAACTCGCTATCAAATACATCACAGGCTGCAAAGCTGCCAGTGCAGATCGGTAGTTTCATCTAAGAGCACATCTCACACAGTTTCCAGCAAAACCTGCGAGCCGTCCGTGGCGACGTACCAGTCGTGTTGTCCCCCACCGTGACTTGCTTGAACAGGGCGTACACTTCCAGCATCTCGTTGTCAGACGGTTTGGTCTTCAGATTCTTGACATCGGCGGCAGCTTGGTCAAACTTCTCCTGTCAAGACGACAATTCACAACGTCACCCAGGGCACCGAGCCATGGCTGCGTTTTGCCAGCAACACCACCGCGGCCACTGTGGGTGGATTTGGGACTGGCATGAAGCCAGACCATGGGTTTTTTCCTTCCCCCCCCCCCCATGGCAAACCAAAGCAATGAATGATAGGCTGCGTACATAAAATCGCCTTTTTCTCACAGTCATCCATTCCATCGTGCATGGCAATGAGCTTACGGATGTTTAAACAAAACAAAACCCCGACTCATTATGCGCGCTCAGGCGACCGATGCAAAATGCAGAGAGACTGTGATCGATAAAGTGGCGAGGCCTCACCACGCAGAGGCATTGCATTTTATCAACTACACCCGCCTACCCACGACTTAATTAACAAAATGCACACGAAGCCTATAACGCACAATAAACCCTATAACGCACAGTGCACACTTTTGTTTGCGATCGTCACGCCAAGCAGCCCATCCCAAGCACAACGCAGCCCAGCATCCTGCGGCAGCTTCTGCAGCACCATCAGGCCCCAACGGAGATGTATTATGACATGGCACACTCGAATCAGAGATGTGCACTTTTGACAAAATCGACGGTCGGTAAATATCTTGAAAGCAGCTTTTTCTCTCTCCCTCTCTCTCTCTGTTCGCGATCTGAATCACCGGGGTCGATTCGCTCAACGGATTTTACGCAACTGGCTACGAAACCCGAATACAACAACCTCGAACACAGATGTTGGTTACTGCAACGAGATTGCGGAGCCAGACGGTGCCTCTAAAAAAAAAACTCAGCGATCACGAAATCCGAGACACACACACAGCACGCTGGCCTGCACCTCGCCCCTGCCTCGTCCCTAACTCGACCTCTATAAACCCAACGCCGAGCTCCAGCTGACACCGACATAACCGACATAACCGACCACCCGAATCTCGCCAAGCGAGCAGCAAGTGCAGTCTGCTGCTGCACTGCCACACCTGGGACATGTTGACGGCGCGGAAGTCTCTGGTGAAGTGGCGGCGGCGAACGGGCGGGCGCGGACTGACACCGCGCGAGTGAAGCGGCGGTGGTTGTAGCGGGGCGGAGGGGGCGGGGCGCGGGGGGAGGAGTCGAGACACGTGCGCTCCGGGCTGCCCCGCGATTGGTTGAGATCGCTGAGGGGGGCGAGGAACTTGGGTTTTATCACGTGGGCTTGGCGAGGGCGGAGCTAAGTCGGCCGTTCCCCATTTGGCGGTCGTGCGTGGGGGGGGTGCGATCACGTGGCTCGTTGACCTTTGTTACGACTGGAGCAAGCGACGGCGCCGATTGGCGGAGGTGATGTCACGCGATCGTTTGAGGAGACGGTCTGCGGTCGGTGTTAACCCAGGACACGTGGAGGTTGAGGGTTCAATTGCCTGCACCAGGCTTCTGCAGACACGAGGTTACAGCATTGGAGTCCAATATCAGTGGAATAACGCATGGCGTGGTTCAGAATAGGGTTGGGATAGCGAAAGTAAAAACGAATGAGATATCAAGTACTTAGTTTGTTTATGTCGATGTTCACTGAAATAAGTGTAACAAAAAATGGTTCCTGGGAAGTAAGTGTTTTTTCCTAATTGCTTATGCCTCAAAAGTACAGAAAATGGCTATTATTCTCCACAAACTTTGCTTGTGTGACCAGGACAGTGATATTTTAAATGTACCTATATTCAATGAGAAAACGCATTTGTGTCATTCCTTCACCTAAAGCCCTGGTCACAAAAGCAAAGTTTATGGGGAATAATAGCTATTTTATATACTTGATAAGCATAAGCAATTTAAAAAGTTACACTTACTACCCAGGGACAAAAGTCGTGTTACACTATGCAGAGACAAAAATCGTGTTACACTTACTACCCAGGGATAAAAATCGTGTTACACAGTATAATGAGCACATTCGTCAGTAAAACTCTGCCTTAAAAGAAAAAAAATTCAAATGTGATCATTTCACATTTTAAGGCCACAGTGTTGACAAATTCGTATTTTTTGTGATTATGCACCACTGGCAATGCAGTATCATTTCACCAAATATAACGTTTACTATAAAATCGGAACTATGTTGAAGGATTGTTTCCAGGAATGAGTAATGTAAACATCAAAAATACAATGCCGAATAAAGTAAATAATACAATAGCAAATAAATGAATTCAACAAAAGGCTGTTGGTTTTCGGTTCAACACTCATCACAAACCTACGTGACTTTTCAGGTTATATATCGTAAAACTGCATCAGAACCAGAAAGGGTTTTATTCGCCATGAAAGTTCACACAGACACGGAATTTACTTTGGCAGGATGGTGCATACATTCAACATATAGAAATCTAAAATCTTAAATAAGTGGTAAACAAGTCTTACTATAAGGGTTAAAAGTCTAACTAACACCAAGGGGCTAAAGTATATAAAATTGAATAAATAAAGAATATAAAAAAGCTATAAGATACAATCATAAAATAAATAAAAAATACAAATAGGGTATCATAGTTAATATTGGCAAGGTGTCATTTTGTCCACCGAGATGGCGCGATGCAATTAATTCATTTTCTGGGTGCTCGTTGGATTATCCATCGCAGGAAGGCGAGAGATGGAGGTGGCTTGGAAAGGCAGTGGATTGGAGTTGTTTCAGGAGTTAAAATGCCAATGTCGAGGTTTTTTAGCCACAGTGGGGCTTCAGGAGAGAGAGAGAGTTCGTGTCATTGCACTGTTCCTCCGTTGAAGGAACGCACACTGCAGTGGCTTACTGTATGGCCCACAGTTTGAATCGCATGGCGATGAAAACCAAGCCTACCTAAGTTCCAATACCAGAGTCTCCTCTAAGAGCGAAGACGTTAAAGGGTAAAGTTCAGCAACGGGCATCTCTTTCAGTGTGGCGCTTTGTCGAATAACGATCAAGGCTACGTCTATTGACCCGCCACCTACTGCTTGTATTTCGTGCGGGAATTAAATAAAGTGTCGACAAAGAAAACACTAATTTGCATTATATTCTTGGTTCTTTCGGTAAAGTCACGTAGAGGGGAAACGTGACTTTACCGAAAGATCCAAGAATATGAATCCCTGCAGTCACGAAAGCTTTAAATCTAAATGTAATTTGCATTACGCAGACGGTGCAAAGTTTACGCCCACGCGTGGCAAAGCAGAAAAGCGAGAGCCAAAGTAAAATCTCCCCAGCATGCCCAACGCAACGTGAGCCGGACAAAGAATGGGCACCCACGGAATACTGGCACCACGAACCTAACAGTGCATGGCAACGCAGCACCGACTGTGTGGGCAATACATTCACATTGGCTGAATCACAATCAGTACTTTTGAATACCAAAAAACCCCCACTGACGTGGTTGCCAATTGTTGCATTGCATAAGGCATAGACATGCATACTGAACGTCTTTCGCACCGTATGTAGACAACCGTGCTATTTCGCAAAGGTTGTCGGTGCGGTGTTAGCAGTAGACGTGACCTTATTGTAGAAAATCGCATAGCTAGATCGCTCCGCACCGCCTTACTGGCAGACGATAATTGTGGTGTGATGATGCATCGAGCGCCTTTGTGACAGCCTCGTGCCACAACAATGATTTGGACTCTCGGTGCAACTGCCCAAGCTCTCAGCTGCTGCAGGCCGTCGAGTTCACGCCCTTGGGGGGGGGGGGGGGGGGGCTCGACTCAGCCCATAATTCTGGGTGGACAAAATTGGTACCACTTTGTGGGGGACTAACGGCGGTTGATTTTTTTTTACAGATAGGCTGGTCTCTCGTCACAAAGATGTGGGAATGTCCAACCCCCCCCCCCCCCCCCCCAACTTGCTTCAGAAGATTTAACACGTAGGATTTCGCGACCAATATTATTCATAAGGGGGGGGGGGGTTAACCCAAATGCGTTCGCTTGCGTACGGGGGGTCTACTGACAATGTACGCAGAGGAAACGGGGGGGGGGGGGGTGCAGCCTCGATAATAATTTGTCTACATTGGCCTTCAAATGAGTTAGATAGTCCGGCGGTGGACTATCTGTTTGCTTAAACACGTTAATATTATTAATCCTTGATCGTTTCTGCGTGTATTAAATATCGACCGTTCTATAGGATTCGGGGGGGGGGGGGGGGGGGGGGGGGGCTGCGTCAAACGTACGCAGGTGGGGGGGGGGGGGGTAAAACATGCGTACAGGGAGGGGTCAAGTTTTGACAGATTTTTGCGTATCTACTCAATGGATGGTTCCGAATAACGGTTTTTGGGTTAAATCGCTTAAACATAAATGTGTCGAAACCTTCCACCACCCGACACAGCCAATTAGTAAGGGATTTGTCACGTAAACAACACGCCAATTCGTGACCACTTCAGCCCACCGGCGTGTTGGAGAGTAAATCCACAACATTTATAACGAGCTTTTTTGCCCGTCCAAGGACGGTTGTATATTGCAGTCAATCTGAAATATTCGATAGAAAAATTGTTCAGCTCATGATTATTGAGGGGGGGGGGGGGGGGGGGGGAATGTCCCATGTGGAGTGACGTCACCCGCTAATGGTTATTGGGGAGGGGTGCGGTATGTGGAGTGACGTCACCCGCTAATGGTTATTGTGGAGGGGTGCGGCATGTGGAGTGCGGGCATGAATATTAATGAGGGGGGGGGCTCTTTTGCAGTGACGTCACGCACGGATGTAGCACTGTGCTGCGTAGATTTATTTTTCACCGTCACTTTCCGTAAAGAAACGTCATGTTTGAAGCAACTTTGCGTAATCAATTATTTAATTCAGCTCGACCTTCCTCTGCGTTAGCGTAAAAATCCACCACTCATGTGTAGTGACGTCACACGGGGGGCCTCATGTGGAGTGACGTCACACGGGGGGGTGGGCCTCATGTGGAGTGACGTCACGCGCGGGACGGACAGACATTTCTGGGTAATTACAGTCGGTAATTTGAGTAGTACGACGTTTCGATTCGGCAAATCGCCTGATGATGCTGGATGCAATTACCAGCGAAACGTCGTACTACTCAAATTGTAAATGTTGTGGATTTACTCTCCGACACAGCGGTGGGCTAAAAGTAGTAACTACTTGGCGTTTTGTTTACGTGACAAATCCCTTAATAATTAGCTGTGTCGGGTGGTGGAGGGGTTCGACGATGTCGTGTCCGCTGTAATCGAAGTTCCGAGGATCAATGATTTAAGGCAGTTACGGGCGTGGCAGAACGGGACAACGACAAATTAATCGAACAGGAATCGATTCTTGTGTTTAAAGCGATCCCGAATCGCCGGAGTCGAATCGCTCGAAGGGGGAAGAAGGCGGAACCGGCAGCTCCACGTGGGCTCCCAGGCCGCGTGGGTTCCAGTTGGGAGTCCCAACTCGGGTCCACCGACCGAGCCATCGCCCGCCCCTCACCGGCCGTGCTGGGGCTGCCTTCTTCGTGTCCTCGGCCCCCTACCCCGAGACTCCGCGGAGGCCATGGCGGCTAAGGCCTCGAGGCAGCGGCCCGCGCGGGTGAAAGCGGCCCTGGGCGACCCCTTCCACCTGGCGTGGCCTCCCCTGGACGAGACCCTGGGCGAGGAGCTCGTGGAGGAGCTGAGGGGGGCGCTCGGCGCCGCGGGCCTCGGCAGGGCCAAGGGCCGGCACGGGGACGCGGCGGGAAGGAAGCGCCGGGCAAAGAGGGGAGACGGTGCCAGCGAGAGGAGGAAAGCGACGGACGAGAAGATGGAGGGCGAGGGGCTAAAGGGGGGCGACGAGAAGATGGAGGTAGGCGGCAGGGCTGAGAGTGCGATGATGGGCAATCGAGAGGCGAGCGTGGACGATGACAGTACGGAGATGAAGGAGAAAGCAGTGGACGAAGAGAGAGTCAACAGGACGGGGGAGGAGGGGGGTAAGACTGACAACACTCAAGCGGCGAGGATGGACAAGGCGAAGTCTGTGGACGACGCGAACGAGGAGGTGCACGCCAAAGTCGCGGACGAGACCTCGGGTGACGCAGGCCTGTCGGCTGGCCCCCGTCGCGGTGGCTGGAGCGACGCGTCCGTACGCAGAGAGGCGGCCCTGGGCGTGAACGAGGTGATCCGCGGGCTGGAGCGTGACGAGCTGAGCCTGGTGCTCGTGTGCGGCACCGCGCGTCCCCCTCTTCTGCCGCGACTCCTGGCCGCGCTGTGCGCCAGTCGCGCGGTGCCGGCAGCGCAGCTGGGAGCGCTGAGCGCCGCCGTGGCGCCTCTGCTGGGGCTGCGCTCCGTGCTGGCGCTCGGGGTGCGTAGGGACGCGCCGAGGCTCGCCAAGGCCGCGGAGCGAATCGCCCGGAGGCTGCCGCCGCTCCGCGCGCCTTGGCTGAGCGGCGAGGCGCCCGGCGTTGGGACGGCCGCGTGCGTGGATGTCGGGGTCGGTGCGTGCCGCTTGCTGCCGTCGAACGTCAAGAGGCTCGTGTCGAATCCCGCTCGCAGGAAGCGCAAAAGGAGTTGAGGTCCCGAGTTTGGGACTTCTCCCCGCCCGCGCCCCGCTGTGGTTGTGTGAAGCGAAACGGGCAGCGGACGAACCGGGCGGTACAGCTTCACTCGAGGCGGACAGCGGGGTTCATCCCGTGCGGCCAAAGCGGGGGACCACTTATCGGAGGATTGGAGAAGCGCCCTGTTATACAACATCGAATTGAATTAAGTTCAGGTGCGCGCAAAGAAAGTCGTGCAAGCCTACGTGTTAAACAACGCGTCTGCCTAAGTACTGTTTACACGACGTGTACGTGGTTTAGCGCATGGTTTTTTTTTACCAACAATAAACCACTCCCACCTAAACTGCGTTCTAATTGAAAGTTTAGAGAAATGGTTTCAGCGTAAGTTTTATTTGGTCGAATGGTTTGCAGTAACCTGTTTTAACATCATCCGTGTGATTTCAAATCGGAGACGCGTTCCTTAGTAAAGTCAGCTTTGAGACTGGCGATCCACTAAACTTATTCTGGTTTGCTTGGAAAATACCTTTGTATTTAATCGGTGTTGACAATGGTTGTAAGCTGTACATTTGCATGTTACCGTGAAAGTGCTAATGTAATAAAATGCTGTCTAAATGCACCGTCGGATTGCGTTGTTGAAATTCATATAATACTAAGTGGGATACCCAATCCTTTTTAAAATTCCATATCGGGTAACTTACAAAAACCTAGAGCAGAACTCATTGGCAAAGCAAAAATTGCCCAACTGAAGGCAGCTTGCGTGGTGCATTGCTTTCAGCAGGGTCACGCTGCTCCTGTAAAAAACACTGTCATTCATCCAGGAAAACATGACGGTAGCAAGCACTTTAAGGAATTTGCTTAACGGTATAACAGTAATAGGCCGCCTTCACGTCGGGGATGTGTTCAAATGTGCGACGACGAATATCGAAACTTCGAAGCGACGGATGCGAGAGGGTGGATGCTGTCAGCGACGCGTGTGGGTGTGGAGGCAACGCAAATAAGGTCGTGGTATCTATCAAGTGACACCGTACGGTGTTTGCAAAACCACGTAAGTGGGCGCGTAAATCGGGGTATTAATTGGCCCAAATGGTTTAACATTATACCCGTGCAAATCAGATTACTGCACTTGCATAACCCATGCACACGCAGAGACGTTAAAAACCTGGCTGTCGCCTGATAAAGCTAGTTGCAATTACTGGCGAAATGTCGTACTCAGATTGTAAATGTTGTGGCTTGGATTTTTAAAACACCGATGTGCTGTACTAATAACGAATTGGCATGTTGTGTTTACGTCGGGTGGTGGCTGGTTCAACGACACATTTACACGAAAAACCTATGTTAAACATGTAAGATGTCAAACAATGCTGCAGTGCATTCTGGTTCCCTGTCCAATGCCAATCTTCATCCTGCCACCAATAGCGCTGCATTACAGGGCAAGAATTTCCACCACATTAACAAGCATGACAAATAACAGCAAGACAATAAACAATTGCCTTAAAATTATTACATACAAGTATTCGGTGTAGTGATTGTTGGGTGTAAATTGGAACCAGCAAAGTATGGCAGTCCACTAGCTCACTGGAATTTATTGCCCAGTAAAGTTGCCCCGACACGCTCATTCAGTGCACACACTGCACAACACCAACACCCCACAATGCATCTTGCTTTTGTTACGTACCACATTGCATTTATTGATGTGGCAGATCCAGGGCAGGTGGGGGGGGGGATTCCAACTTTTAAACCTCTGCAAAAACTCAAAATGCTCTCGAATCAACGCTCACTCCTGAACTTTCTGTAACAGCCCTTAGATATACATTTTATCAATAGCTGGACAACACAACACTGTATTGGAGTTCAATTCAAAACCCCCTGGGATCTGCCGCTGAATCGATGTATTACCCAAGTAAGATACAGCAATGAGTATCTAACAATTGCTGTGACATGGCAATGAATGTTAATATCTTAGGGCTAAGGCTATACAATTTAAAGATTACCAGGTTATTATGAATGTGAATGTTAGGTAACTGTTTGAGGTATACCCATATATCTGCTTTCATGTCGTTTATATCAAGGGAATCTCAGCAGAGTTGTAGTGATGACATGACGCGCTGCCTGTGGGTAGTGTGCGATAACTCGTCAAAGCGCTTCAGTATTGCTCGTAAGGTCAATCAATTGTTTGAAACCCAAACTTGAATACTGTCCTGCTAAATTACCAGTTACCAACTTTACCAACGACAATGGTACAATTCAGCATCTGTCATGTCATTGCAAAGTATTTAATAATAAATATGTCTAGCCCCCCAGCTGCATGGAACTAAGCAGTCTGTATATGCAAGCTCAATAAAGTAAGCTCAGGATTTAATTTCTTACAGTGTTAGAACTTAGAAATTGTACAAAAAAAACAGGGCAACACTGAGTCAGGCAATTTTAAAATGCAACAAATGTTTAAAGTTGTTTACACATCTGTTAAAATGCCATATTTTCCATTCTGCAGATAAAATATCAAGCCTAATTAATTAAATTGTTCACAACAGTTTTCCTTTCAATATGTCCATGTTTATGACACTAATCCCAGCAATGGTATTCCATATTACATACTGTATTCAGTGTTTATTCAAGGCCATATGTCTTGTTTAAACACCACCCGTATTTGCTGGATTACCAAATTGTATGGCTCCTATGAGATTTTCGCTTGTAAAACACCATAACTGGGCTCCACACCCCCATACATCCTCCTTGTGTTTAATGATGAAGCTGTCCATAGTCAAATTACTGCACTGAGTCGGACTGCTGCGGAACAGCATACATTTCTCCATTAGGTCTTCTGGCTTCTCAGGAATTCCTCAAGTTTTCACTGCAGAACGAGGCCCACCTGCATAAGGGCAAAATAAGAACAGGTTGCACTCAAATTCAAATCACACCACTGCGTCAAGATGCAAAACGTGTAAATAGGCATCCACTCGCAAACTCATCAAAACAATGATTTTGATATTAATGTTTTCAGAGAGTCTCAAGCTTCTTTTGCATGTCTGATGTAGATGCAGAGCAACTACAAGTTCACATTCAGGTGGTCAAGCCAGACAACCCTGTCATATATCAACAATTTATATGTGAACTGATATGCAATTGAATACAATCACATATCAATTGACCAATCTAATAATCTCAAGTAAAACGAACTGTTTTCAAATAATTTCTTATTGAAAATCAATGTATTATGGAATTTGAAAACTATGACCCGCAATAAAGCAACAACCGTCCCCAATGTTCTTTAACTTTGCTAAACATCCAGACTAAGGTATGAAGTTGAAATTTCAATCATACACTTAGGAAATGTAATGACCAGACAACCACCACATCAGCAATGGCAAACACCAGCAGCCCAGACTAGATTGAAGCCGAATGTCGAGATTTTCCACACAAAGTACTGTGCGTTTTCATTCCAAGTCCTACTAAACTTTGAAACTCATTACCGGTCTTCCAATCTGTAAATATGTATATTTTTTAACCTGATTCTAAGCATTTAACTAATTTTATGTGTCTAGATTGGTCTTCAGCAACTTGAATTTACAAATACAATGAGGGGTCAAGACTTAGACAATCACAAATTATTTTTTAAAAGATGCTAACTTATGGTTTACCTTCTCGGGCCCCATTTGGGGACAGCGCCAGTTGTAGAGGTAATACTGCAGATTGCCGTCACCAATGCCGAACTTAAGCTTCTCCAGGAAGGTTTTGTTCTCCATTAGGTCTAGCGCGTTAAACACATCGAACCCTTTCTGCAGGGAGACAAGGTGTGGAGGAGTTACAGTATGTAATTTCCACAGGCCAGCAACACACAAGCCTAGAAATATCCTTTGGGTCTTTCGGTAAAGTCACGTAGATAGGGTCAAAGAAAAGAACAAAAAAACTACGTTTCGAGCACAACACAAGCGATCTATCTACGTGACTATACCGAAAGACCCAAATAATATGAATTCCTGCAGTCACGAAAGCTTTAAGCCAAGCTTAGAAATATTTCAAACCGTTTCCATCTTCAACTGAGCAGCACTCATATCAGTAAAATGCATTAAACGTTTGCTGTATGATGGTAAAGATTATTTATAAGATCATAAAAAGCGTGGCAAGACACTAGTTTTAAAACACAATCATTCATAACAACACATTTGGTTAACACAGCACATTAAGACTAAGTGTTACAATAAACCAAACATCAGCAAGATATGACTTCATATTTTTTTCCTATCAATTTAGTATTACAAGGAATCGAGTTTAAAGTCAAATACACTAATATATGGGTAAAATAATTTGTGTGCAGAAAGGCAAAACCCACGAAGGAAATGGACCTGTATTTGGTAAACTAGCATCGAGTAGTTGCTGTTTGTAATCAAATACAAAGCTCGTACACTCCTCTATCTCACCAATTTGGCCAGGACTAGCGCGTCGTTCATGAGCTCGAGCAGTGGCGTCTTGGTGTGCACGTTGTAAAAGGAGTAAGCTGCCTTCAGAGTCTTGTGCACTGCGTGGTGCATCACGGTGGAAGGGAGCGTGTAGAAGCTCAGGAAGTCCGTTATCTCCTTAGACTCGGGATTCTGCGCTCGCAGGAAAGGTTACAAGTGAAACACGTTAGCGGATACAGAATTCTCCATAACAGGTTTTTTTTTAGATTGCGTAAAATGAAATGTGTCGTTAAACCCGCCATCACCCGACAGCCAATTAGTAAAGTTTGTGTCGGGTGGTGGCGGGTTTAACGACACATTTATATTTACGCGATCTAACGCAAAACAACCTGAATATTGGACTCAAAAGTCCGTGTTAAACTGGATACAGAATTTTGTTTGTGAATTATAGATCTTATTAGGGGTGGTGGCTTGGCTTTATGTTCCCACCTCCACGATGAACGTGTCGATGATGCCTTCTCGCGGCAGCAGCCAATGGGACACCTCCTCCTCGTCCATCACTGGCGTCAGGTGAAAGCGCTGCAGGTAGAGGAGCAGCAACGCGTGCACGCGCTTCACGTCACGCGCCTCCATTGGCCGGAGCCCTTGCGTCTTCAGATCCTGGGTGAAGGGAAGTGGACGAAAGACGGAGAAACAACAACAATAATAAGTTCCTGTATAACAAGCAGACTCCTAGATAAACTAAACATTCAAATTACATCAATACTTCGTCAAAAGAAACGTGAAAGAATGCAATAGTCTCACGTATTATTCCACTTATCCATTCAAAAAGAGGCTTATTGTCTCACTTTTTTGTCACCTGGCTTGAAAGGCTCCCTACCTAATCGTTTTGCTGTTCATTTACACTCCATAAGTTTTGTGCTGCTAAGCCCTTTACTGGCAGCATGGTGCAAGTGTGCATCAGGACAGGACGAAGATTGTTCTTGAAGGAACACCCAACGGCATATTTTTATCAAGAAAAAAAATGCACAGATGACTGTAATTGTCAATCGTCCTCACACGTGTACGAATTACCAACAAGAATAAAGGTGGCCCACCTCTGGCAGGCGGTAGAGCTTCAGGGTGCGCTGCATGGTCATGTTCCTGCTTAAGTGAGAAAACTTGACGTCGATGAGTTTCCGCGGGTTCAGCGAGCGATGCCAATACCTGCAAGAGAAGGCCAAGATCGTTTCACACTTCTCTCTCACGCACACCAGAAAGATATGGGGATTAACTGTTTTGAAGGAAGATACAACCCCAAAAATAGTTATCTTGGAGATAAGTAGGCTGTCCAGCACAAGTGTGAGGCTCTGACAATTACATTTTATTTGATAAATTATGGTCAGTCATCAGTGTATTATGTAGAACTTTTCGCACTGTACGTAGCCAACCGTGCTAATCGGAGGTGCGAGGGAAGGACAAAATGCCAATTGTGATGTCAATTGTGTCATAATTATATACTTGACTGTATGTTAAAGTATATTTCCATTTACAACGCTTCAACCTTCAAACAGCTCGAACACACAAAACCTAGTGACATTTCCCAAGAGCATGTGTATACAAATAACATTACCCTCCAATGCCTTTATCCACATTGTGCTTCGGGACACCACACAGTTAAAATTGATTGTTTCAGAAGGCAGGCGGAGTGGGCGCGTGGGCAAGGGGAGGCAAACCTGCAGGTGGACACAGGCTTGGGGAGCACGACGCCAGCCGTGTACACAGCCTGGAAGATGCCCTCGCGGTTGACGCGGCGCGTGATCTCTCGGATCAGCACGGGCGCCACACGCTTGGAGCGCAGCTTCTTGTGCACGCACAGAAAGTTGATCTCCACCATCTTCTTCATACTGCGCTCGCACAACGGGCGTTTATTAAAATGCGGCGTATGGTGGCTGCGACTGGTTTTTGTGTTGTATGGAAAATAATGTATGTGACAATATATGATGCACATCTACAAATTCTATATGTTTAACATATTAAAAGGAAATTTTACAAGGCAATGCAAGGAATCAGTTGACAACATCAACACGTGAATAAACTATGTTTCTGTAGGTGCAAGTCATTGATTTGACTGCAATCATTTATTTCAAATGTGCAGCAGGGGGTGTTTGTAATATGGCCAAATGCCACTGTGAGTTGTGCGCCTGTTTTACAATTGAAAGGTTGCCTAATAGAATTAGTCGTATGACTGAAAAGACAACCGTGGTTGTACTTTGGGCAAGATTTGCCTCTACAATGGAAATGTGGAATTTACACCTTTGCCTGACAGCCATCAAAAGAGATGAGTATCACACACCTGCTTGTTTGAGGAGACAATCCGATTTTAACTTCAGGATTTAAATAACATAAAAAGTTTAGCCAATGACCACAATGCATATATGAGCTTGCCCCATGTTTCCCCACTCACACGTCGTAGATGCGGATGGTGGCTGGAACGGCGCTGATGAAACCAACCAGCTTTTTGTTGGAGACAACACGAACGCCGCAATGCCACTGGGACATCCAACGCGGGGGACGCAGGGCCCTGAAGCATTCAGAGAGATTCTATGTTAACTTTACCAGCATATTAAAGGAACAAAGCCTAAAAATAAGATTACTGACAATACCACAAATGCATACTAATATTCAAAATCGCTACAGTTTGTTTTATTGAAAAGAGGCAATGTTGCTACACTTACCATTGCAGGAACTCTGGGGAGTAGTCAAAGCGAAACATGTTGTCATCATCCTCGACATAGTTTTCATTCAAGAGCGTGTACAGCTCTTTCAGCTACAGCGGTCCACACGCACACACAAAACACCCATTACACAGTTACAACACCTTCAGTTCACGATATTTCTTTAAACTTTAGTGACCTATCTTTAACCTTTAACTGTACATTTTTTTTAATGAAGTCACCTGATAGTTTTCTAATGATCATTGCACTGCCAACTGATAATTGTTTGGGTGATCTGTTTACCTTTCTTGTACTTGCACTACTATCGTGTTTTTGTTGTTGTTTGTTGTTGTAACGGTTCTTACCGGCCCCTACTGTACATCTGTAAAAAAGATGCTCATCGGATTTCTCCCAGTATAAATACAAATTGTAATGCTGATAAAATTCATGACTCGATTGTTAAACTACTAGAAACAGTCAATTGTATGACACTTGTCTTAGGGGTATATGCGTCACCCACCACAGCGGCATTGCTGATGTCAAGAGTGTCCCACGCGAAACCAGCGGGCAGAGAGTACGGCTCCTGCCTCACACTATCCTTGTCGGGCTCTATGGGCCCATGCACAGTGACATCCTCATCTGTAAAACACACACACGCACGCTTATCTTCAAATGAAATTAATAACACCGTGCACATGATTCCCGACGTCAAAGTGTCACATTATAATTCACCTCTGCCATCAGAATGAAAATGTGCATGAACACAGAAATGGAGAGGCTGCGGATGTCTTAAGGCCAACTTATAACGATATCTAAAAACAAACAATTCGTCAATAACACTGCCTTTAAATTGAAAAGAATATATAACAGGCGACGCTTCAGCACGATGGCCCTCCTTCATAGTACATAGAGGTGGCAGAGAAATATTGGGTACGAGTTGGACGCTGCACGTTACATCATGGGGCCTGAAAGGAAAATACAAAAAACGTTTCCTGTTAATAAATTTTTGAATTGGCATATGAATAGTTACCTATTAGTAGCTATTAATAAACTAACCCTTCAATAATCAAAAACAGTATGAAACACGTTAGTATTGAAAGTATTATTATAAAATCTTGCTGGCGCATTGCGCTATCGCAAGAATGGTTTTAGTATGGACGTATACATGCTGAACATATTCCGCACTGTACGTAGCTAACTGTGAGGTTAATGCGTAATAAACTTAGTGATGCATTCCTGGGCCCAATTATAAGTTCAAATTGGATAAGAATTCTCCAGACATGTAAGGGTCAAAATGGATAAAGGGACTTGCAATGGTTTGAATTTCCTGCACCTTGCAAGCAGGGGAGGGTCATTTATCGGAGGAAATATAAAACGAGTTTTATATGTATTTTTAGCCTTGCTTTCCAATATTATTGAGAAATGAAATGTCTTATGTAAACAAATGTGTGCTCCAAAATGAGGCACACTATATTTTTACCTAAAAAGGGATAAGGTTTGTCAAGCACGCAATAATAAAGCAATGTTTTAAGTGAAGGTGAGATGTTCACTCAGTCCTGCCAGCTGAACGGTATTAAATTTGAAAATGAGGTGGCCCTTCTATCATATTTCTGACATGTCACTGGTGCTATGGTCCCCAATGTTGAAGTGACGAGCCAGTGGTTTGGGCTTGTCTGCATCGTGAGCTGAACGAAGATGTTGGGTAAGCTATCACCGAGGCATTCACCAGTGTTTTTGAATGCAGTGGAGGCCACAGTGTTTGCGCGTGATGCAAAAAAACCTGAATGTTGGTTGTGCATGTAAACTTATGGTATGTCAAAAATTATGCTCTGGGTAATTTGATCTATGCATCAGTCGACAGGAAGATACACATGTTACAGCATCTCCTATTACATGGGAAGGTGCCTGGAATGCTATTGTTGGTGTTTCACAGAGCTGTTCTGAAAGTTCTGCGGAATGCACCCGGCGGGTGGTTTCCTTAATAATGTTGTCAGTTTGTATCATTCCTTAGGATATCCAAATTGTTAAGGATTTTTTTAATATGCAGGTTTGATGGGTGGTATGTCAGGACAACTGACACCCTATCCTGTCTTTTGGTTAACTACTTGCATGTTGCTTCACAATCTACTGAGAAGGGACATTGGTATGCAGTTGACTACCTCTTCAGGGTATTGGTTTGCTGTGAAAAACCTCTCATTTCATTGGCTTAGTTATCAAAATCTCCATCGTTGCTGTATAAGCGCTGGAGGTGGAGAAACTGTGAAAATGGTATATTGCCTTCTTGGTGTGAACAGCCTCTGCTTTTTGGACATCAACAAGTCCATCCAAGAGGATACACTAGCCATTCATGTTATGCAAACTAAGAGACTCAACACTCCTACCTAATCAACACATTATCACACTCTCCCCACAATGTTTTCCTTTTAAGACAGTGTTATTGATGAATGCATTTATTTTGTACTTTGTGCACCACTAACAATGCAGTATGACCAACTAATTAGAAAAAAAATCTGTAAAGATAACTGGAAGTAATCAGGGCTTGAATGTTTGCCTATAGGCTTTGATATTTCAGCACGGTGGTGAGAATGTGTAATGCGGAATCATTAGTTTTATTCATTTAGAATGTGTTAACATGGCTGATAATAGGCACCACAGTGCAGGTTGTTTTCTTGACACGTCACGTGCACTTGACAGAGACCATTCGTAGAAATGTGTCTTTAGGGAAATTGAAATAACGTGCAATGATTAGTATTTTTAGTACTTAAACGGACATTGTCTACGATGTTAGAAATACATATTTGTATTCATATTCTAAAACACAGTTGAAGGAACGACTTTGGTTGGCTTGATATTAGTCCGCTTCTATTATTTGTTATACTATTGTATGTTTGTCTTGGCGAGACAGGCGACCGTTGCTTCATCAGCAGCGTGGAGGGCCCTGAGAACACCGTCGAGTCCAATCAGGGGCCACTCGTCGACAAAATGCGACATGGTCTGTCGCTAACCACATCCACGTAATGGGTTGTCATTCTGGACCAAGGTGTGCAGGTATTATATGATTAAATGTATTTTGTTCAGGCCAAACTAAATAATGAGATTTATCATCCTGCCAGAACGCTCCTACATAAAAAAAATGTTTTAAATGCAACAGACACACACTGTTGTATGCCAAGTAATGTTTTAAAATGAGGCAGTCACAACAATGTATCGCGTGCCCTTCTCTAGCTACAGGCAAGTCCACCCCATTAGTGAGAAAGCAAGGGTAAACAACTGTACATGTGCAGTGGCACCAGCCGACACGTACCAAGCTTAGGGACGGGCTGGGTGTCCCAGAACTGGTAGTTGCGCTTGCTGGCCTCCTCCAAGTTGCGTGCAGGGCCCGGGCAGACATTGAGAAGCTCCATTGCGCGCTGCAGATCCTGCAGCTTCTGCACCGGAACGGCGGTCACGGCATTACCCTTCACATACGGCAGTGACCCGCATCAAGTAACAAAGACGATTTACAACTATGCGAATGCCACGTGCTAACCGAAACTGCACGAGCTTTATGCCAAACCAACGGCTATACGGTTGCGAGAGAATATATTACGTAAACTCTAACCAATCAGCAGTCAATCAAAGCCCAAGATCTAGCACGCCAGTGCACGTCAGTGTGACACAACTGCAAGAGAAGACTAAAGTCTTGGATCTACCTTGACATCCTGCGAATCTGAAGCAGAGTCGGACTTTGTAAGTCCTTTTTCCTTTTTCCTCTTTTGCTTCTTTTTCTTCTTCTTTGCTGCAGCGGGATCCCCACTGGGACTCCTAACGCATAAACACGCAGCACAGGTTAGGGTGAGCGTGGCAAGCTGGAGAGAGGCGAGTGTGAGAGTTCAGGAAGTGGGTCACCTAGGATAGGGTCAAGCACATGGCAGTGAGCAGATGAGGAGGCAGTTTTTAAGGTGACGTGTGGTTAGAGCGAGTTAAAATGTAGGAAGTAGAAGAGAGATATGGAGTGGGTTGTGCTTTCAGGTGTAGAGTGATGTGAGATAGGTGGTGATGAGGAAATGCGAGGATGAAGGATGATGAATGACGAGTGCAGGATACAGATGGTGAAATGATACGCAACAATGAGGTATAATGACATGTGTTGATCAGGTTATGTTATTTATGTGATCAAGTGTAGGTTGATGATTTGTAGCTGTAATAAAGTATAATGATGACGTGTGATGTAAAATTATGACGCAAATGCACAGACAACTTGCGATGTATGTTGAACTTCTTTCGCGCCGTACGTAGCCAACCATGCTACTGTGAGGTGCAGGAAAAATGACACTAAGCAGAGTTGAGTCTGGATAGTGAGGATGGGCAGGTGTTACAGGCTGTTGCTGCAGGGATACCATGGGTGCAGCATACGGCAATGGAGAAAGCGTCATTGCTTGACTGTACTGTACTTCAATGCTCCTTCGCCCTGTATCAACCCGCATTTGGCTTACGAAGTTAAGTTTGGGCAGATCACTCCCCTTAAAGAATGGAAGAAGCTCCCACACAGCAGCGGGTTGATAAAAAGGGTTGTACGTGTACACGGTGTGTGAAGGTGATCCATTGTGTGTTTCGCACCGATGTGTGGAATTTAACAAGGTGCACGTGCAATGGCAAGGTCAACGATGATGACGAGGTGTGATGACGTGTCACGATGATGACGAGGTGTGATGACGTGACACCAACAACTGCTCGTGGCCTCAGTGTGCCATGCGATGAGTAATGACGATGTTCTTCTATGTGGGATGATGAAAAATAAAGCACTAGGCATGTTTGTGCGATTTGGGTGAATGTTTAACGAAACGTTGTAATTACCCCGCGTACATTTGGTGACGGCATGTATGTGTAATTATGACGAGAGGATGTGCGCGGTGAAAGGGGGGGGGGTATTTGTTTGTGGTGGTGATGAATAATAATGATGCGTAATTACGAGGTTAACAATGCACAAGTTGAATGTGGGATAAGGTGCAATGAGAGGGAGAGTCGTCCCCCACCTGCTTTGGAACCCCCCGCGATAGCGAATGCGTGGCAATAGTGCAATTACAACGAAGTGTAGTAATAATGCTTGCCCCAGTCCCTTAACATTTGTCATGATGATGCACGTGATGTGCAATGGTGAGGTGTGATCATGAAATATAAAGCCGACGACACATGTAAACGATAAGCTTATAGTCATCACCGTAACGAGGAGCAATCCCCTCCGCTCATCTTGACATGTGATTGATGATGATGTGTGATGATGATGTGTGATGATGATGTGTGATGATGATGATGTGGGATGACGAAGTATGGGCGATGATGTGCAACCGCGTTTAACGATGACGATTGATGACGGGCAGTCGTGTGCGTCTCAGATCGCCGTGTTGAACGACGCGTGGCGAACACGAGGGTGGGAATGCAGCAAACTAAAGAAAATTGTACTCTACTCTGGACGTCCGTTCTATGCTCCCCCCCCCCCGCCATCGTCAACTCGTCTGAAACCCGCGTGGCGACCGGCGCAAAGCCAAATTGACCGCCACGACCCGCAACGGTGGATTTACTAAAACAAAAAAAAATTGGATGTAGATGATGATGGTGAAGACGACGACGCTGATCGTACGTACGACAAAATGTGTAACGTTGATGTGTGACGACGAGTGTGAAGACGACGATGATGATGACGACGGCGGCGGATTAGAAGTTGGCCGCTCTTTTTCGTCACGTTGAAATGAAGATGCTCGTTGGACGAGGCGTCTTGAAGCGTGACGAGGTGTTAATGACAGCTCGGCTGAATGATGACTGAATGACGACGGCGATGAGGATCGGCAGTCACTGTAACGTGCCGTCTGTGATCGCCGTGTCGACCATCGTGGGTCCCGGTTGTACTCGTGCCGATGATCGAGTAATGAAGAGGGTTGGGGGTGTTAAAGATTAATGAATAACCTTACGTTGATTTTTAAAACGACGGAGTTTAACTATGACAACGAGGTTGTAAGCGCTACGAACAATTACGTTTGATAATGGCAACGTTAATGAAATCACGGGCGACGCGAGGGTTAACGATGAGCCGGTAATGTTGCTGGTTAAGATAAATTCGAATACATTCTAATTCACGATGTGTATGTAAGATTGTAATAGTTTTAGTTTATTTAATCAGGCGATAACCCAAGCGACCAAAAGTCACACTTTGCAACTGGATAAGACGTTTAATGGCGATAATGAAGATGATGGGGATATATACGTCTCAAGATCGTGATGTTTAATGTGAAGAGGTGGCATTGATGAGGTATTCTGCTTGTAACGATAAGTGCAATAATCGCGCGGTGTGTTTCATGGTCGAATATGACGAGGTGGAACGATGGTGAGTTAATGCTACGAATGCGTACATACAATGTGTGATATCGATTAGCTAATTAGCAAGGACTAACGCGCAATAATCGTCACACTTGACGATTAAAAACACTGCTACTGATGAGGTGCCCTGGTACTACCGCAGCGCAATTATTACAATGAGGTACAACAATCGGCGGTGTAATGATAATGACGAGGTGAAACGCTGCTGCCGCTGCCGATGTGTGACGGTACTGGCCGCAAGAACGTCGAAGTTCAGCCGCGACCGATGAAAAGACAACAGACGCGTGACGAACGTCGCCGATGATTCCGATGCCGACGAAGCCGAGTCGCCCATTCCTTCCTCCTGGGCCTCAGGTCGCGCGGGGTCGACCACCGCCACCCAGACACACAACCCCCGCGACTCTCGCTCAACGCCGCCTTCACCCACACCCTCGTCCACCACCTACTCTCCATACCCGTCGTCGTGCTCGGCCTCGTCCTCGTTGTCGCCGTCGATGCCGCACGTGTCGGGGTCTTCGAGCTCGAGGCTCTGAGCGCTCAGCGCCGACTCGGAGTCTTCCGCCATCGCGGCCGCACCGCCCGGTCCCGGCCCCCCCCCCCGGTCCAGCGCGCCTGCGCGAAAGTGCCGACGGCCAATCAGAGCTCGCGCATGCCGTCACGTGACGCGCGGCGGCGGTGCGCGGACAGAGCGATCGTGCACCGCGCACGCGGCCCCGGCTTCCGTTTACAGCCCAGCACCCCCCACCCCTCACCACCCCCCCACCACCACCCCCCACCACCACCCCCCTCCACCCCCCACCACCCCCCACGACCCCCCACGACCCCCCACCACCCCCCTCCACCACCACCACCCCCCACCACCCCCCACCACCACCCCCCACCACCACCCCTCACCACCACCACCCCCCACCACCCCTCACCACCACCACCCCCACCACCCCCACCACCCCCCTCCACCACCACCACCCCCCACCACCCCTCACCACCACCACCACCCCCCTCCACCACCACCACCCCCCTCCACCACCACCACCCCCCACCACCCCCCACCACCCACCCCACCAACCCCCCACACCACCATCACCACCCACCACCGTTCGCGCCTCTCTTAGCCGGCCGACTAAGCATGCACCGTGCGAAAGTGTGAGGGCCGCGTGGTGACGTCGGCACGTAACGTGGGTGAGTGGGCTGCGTGGTGACGTCGGCACGCAACGTAAGCGAGTGGGCCGCGTGGTGACGTCAGCACGTAACGTGGGCGAGTGGGCGGCGTGGTGACGTCAGCACGTAACGTGGGCGAGTGGGCTGCGTGGTTTTCAGTCTCAGTTAAGTTTATTTTGGTATAGCCCTGTGAGCCATTCGGCTCTTGAATCGGGTGCAATCGCAACAAACAAAAAACACGAACAAAAAAACATCTTAAAGTGACTATGTGACTGTGCAAACAGAAAATACAGGAAAAAAATATCAAAATATTCCTGAAATAGCACCGTACACCAACGCTGTGTGCAAAAATCCCATAAATGACGTCACGCACCTAGGGGGGGGGGGGGTCAGACATTTGTGACGATGTGTGACGAGGGGGGGGGGAGTTGAGAAATGTGACGTCACATCAAAATGCGCAACTTTAAATAAAAATAGACAACACGTTCTACTTCATGAAATAGACTTTTAAATAAATGTTTCTCCTACAACATCAGTGTGCAGCGCCACATTAAAAACAAACTACAATGACAATAGTTTAAAGCGATTTGAAGCATGTTTATATATTTTTTTTGGGGGGGGGGCAGAGCTTTGTGACGTCATTTTTGAGGGGGGGGGGTCTGACCTTTTGTGATGCCGTGTGACGAGGGCGGGGGGGTCAAAAATAGTCAAAAATCGAGTGACGTCATTTATGGACGGCCCCAAAGCGGTACACGCGATCCACGACCCCAAACGAGATAAGAACTCGTCACGATTCCTGTTGCAAATCGATTCAAGAACAAATTGTCTCAACTTGACCCAATCGTTCGCATTGTTTATCGTTTCCCCCAGCCCCTTCTCTCTCTGTCACGTCTACCAGGTCTGCTCGCGAAATTGTCCCACCGTGTATCTCTGACTGAGAATTCGCGCCACATCGTAAATTATCGATACGCCGCTCTCCACTGTTCGATTCGTGAATCGCTGTGCGCATGCGCGGCGTGCTTGGTCGCTAGGGGAGACGAGAAGACGCGGGGCGCCGCGTGTCCGGGATAGCCACACCTCGTCACCCACCTCGACACTTACCCGTCACCCACCTCGTTACCCACCTTGTCACTCACCTCGTCACCCACCTCGACACTCACCTCCTCACCCACCTCGTCACCCACCTCGACACTTACCCCGTCACCCACCTCGTTACCCACCTTGTCACTCACCTCGTCACCCACCTCGTCACCCACCTAGTCACTCATCTCGTCACCCAACTCGACACTCACCTCCTCACCCACCTCGACACTCACCTCGTCCACCACCTCGACACTTACCCCGTCACCCACCTCGACACTCACCTCGTCCCCCACCTCGTCACCCAACTCGACACTCACATCGTCACCCACCTCGTCACCCACCTCGTCACCCACCTCGACACCTCGACACCCACCTCGTCACCCAACTCGACACTCACCTCGTCCCCCACCTCGTCACCCAACTCGACACTCACATCGTCACCCACCTCGTCACCCACCTCGACACTAACCTCGTCACCCACCTCGTAAACCAACTCGACACCTCGACACCCACCTCGTCACCCAACTCGACACTCACCTCATTCATCTCATCTCATCAGCCATCTCGACACCCACCTCGTCACCCACCTGGACAAAAGACAAACACCCCCCACCCCAATCCACTCCTGGCCACCGACCCTCAATCCTCACTGCTCGTTCCGCTCGTCACTCCTTCCTCGTCACCCATCGTCGCTCTTCTCACCTCCACCTCGTCACTCCTCCTCCCGGCGATGCCGCAAACGTCCTCGTTGAGCGGGAAGAAGCTGCAGGAACTCGCCGAGTCGCTGAGCAAACGCGTCAAGCACTGTGAGTTGCATCATCAGCATCACGATCACGATGACAGCCGAGTCTGAGCGATGTCCTCCTTGCTACGCGCGTGGCCTCTAAACCCCGCTCTGTGGAGGAGGCGGCGGCGAGGGTGGGTGGATCACACGCGGATTGTTGCCAAACTTCCCCCCCCCCCCCTCTTCTTCCCGTGGGGAAAGGGGGGGGTGTCAGTGGCGAAACGTCGTACTCAGATTATAAATGCTGTGGCTTGGCTCCCCAACACACCGGTGGTGCTGTACCAGTGACGAATTGTCCACGTTCTGTTTACGTGACAACCCTTTACTGGTTGGTTGTGTCGGGTGGTGGGCGGGTTTTAACGACACAGCATTTATATATTTACGCGATCTAACCCCCTACCCCCACCCCTCTATTATGGATGATATTGGTCGCGAAAGTGTTAACGCATTCACAGAGGACAGCAGAGCTCGGGCACTTAATTGGTGGTTCTGGCTCACCGCGTGGCTGATGCTGCTGCTGCTTTCCCCGCCTCGTCTGTGGTTCCTCCTCGCGTCTCTGCGGCGTCTTCTCTTATGAGAGTCAAGTGAATATTCCTCGATTCCCATGGCGTCGACCAATCTATAGCAACAACCACTGTTCACTACGCTAAGCAGCAAGTGGTAGCTATTTTATCTACCCCCAAGTGGGATGATCTGCTGAGTCAACCAGGGTATGAACTTGTAACCTGATTACGAGCCGCTTGCTCTGCTGCTCAAACCTGTAATGCCAAGTATTGCTTGATGAAAACGCATACACGGGATGCGTTGTACAACATAGCTGGAATCGCTCTTAAATCTGGTATGGGGCCCGTCCATAAATGACGTCACGCACCTGGGGGGGGGGGGGGGTCAGACATTTGTGACGCTGTGTGACGAGCGGGGGGGGGTTTAAAAATGTGACGTCACGTAAAAATGCGCAACTTTAAATAAATATAGACAACACGTTCTACTTAATTAAATAGACTTTTTTATACATGTTTTCTCCTACAACATAAAAGTGCAGCGCCACAATAAATACGCACTAGATTGACAATAGTTTAAAGCGATTTGAAGCATGTTTTATTTTCAAAATGGAAATATGGTTTGGGGGGGGGGGGCAGAGCTTTGTGACGTCATATTTGATGGGGGGTCTGACTTTTTGTGACGCCGTGTGACGAGGGGGAGGGGTCAAACATCGTCCAAAATCGCGTGACGTCATTTATGGACGGCCCCTATGCATTTGTTGCCTACAGTAGAAGTCGCTCGCTACTGCTCGTCACTTTTACGCAATGTTGTCACGAGGAAAACCCAAAAAGTCGCTCTATCTAGTGACAAGATCGCACGTCGCACCGCTGACGTCAATCAGGCTGCCCTCTGAGAGCTCTCTGCTGTCCCCATGTGTGTGCGTATGTGCCATGCGTGCAGTTACCCGCAAGGAAGTGGAGGATCTGCTGGGATTCTACACAACGCTGCTCGCCAGTTTCACGGAGAGACGGCCCAGGGCCGGCCTGGAGCGAAACCCGTTCAGGAGCATTCTGCACAACATGTTCAACATGACGGACGACATGATCATGGACAGAGGTGACCAACTGGCTAACGCTGTCACGTTTCCCCCATCCCCCTCCCCTCTTTGGTTAACATTGGTTGAAGCAAGCCTCAGGGCTGACGGTACACTGAATGATGAGTTGAGCCAGTGCTGATGACATTACGCACTTCAAGAAAGCTGTGCCGCTGATGGTATGTGTAAATTAGGTGTTACACGTGGAGGGACTGATATGGGAAGGTATATTATCTGCTTATTTATATTGATTAACATGGATGTGTTTTAGGACTCAGCAGCACAGGCTTGCAACTGTTCAAACACTACTATTTAATCATCATATACTGAGGAGTAAAAATAATCATTCGCTGATAAGTGCACAAAGGAGCGTGGAGAGATGCATGTGTAATGAGAGAGTGCCATCTAATGGGCGGAAAGGGGTAGCCGCATGGCCACCACCGGGTAGCGGGTAACCAATCCCAAGCGGGGATATATCTGGGCCACAGCTAATGGGCGAAGTCAAAGGGGAACGTCCGGGAACCATCGGGAAGGTTCCACGAGGGGGCGTGGCTAGAGGCGGAGCTTAGCTCCGCCGAGAGGGATATAAGCAGGGGCAGCGGAGGACTCAGGGCGTCGGTGTGTGAAGCCTCAAGTCCGGACCGCATCGCTGCACAAGCCTCTCCTCGTCATTGACCACGTGGCGGAACCCAGCGAGGCTCGCCTCTCCTTCCGGCACGCCGCCAGCCAGCGACGGGATCAGGGAGTGGGAGAGAGGCGAACAGAGAGAACGGCTCGTCCCCAGCCATAGAGAGAGCGAAGGAAAGCATACGGGGAGAGCGGGAGTGAGCTGTGCAAGAATTATATCAATAAAAGACACCAGTCAAGATCGTCGTGGAAGTCGTTTATTACACATGCTTAAAATCACATTGAGAGACAGAAATCAGAACACATTGATGAGAAAGTGTAATGCGTGTTGGAGACATTTAATCTTCGATACTTGATTTAAGTAAAAAAAAGTGTCCCACTTTTCAAATGAGCATGATGCTCATCTCCACCAGTGACCACCTGACTGATAAAATAATATTTCCATGATATGTACCAAACCCTCCACAGGATGATCATATTTGAATACCCACAAAATCGTACCAAATGTATTAAACCCAGAGGGATGTTAAGTCGAAATAACCCATGACCATGATTTGAACTCATCACCTTCATATTGTGAGTCGAGCTCTGAACAGTCTGCCATTAGCCTTCCACGAACTTATTTTTGCAATGATGTGTTTCATTGAAGTTTTTAGGGCGTTTGACAAGGACAACGATGGCTACATCAGCAGCAAAGAGTGGGTGGAAGGACTCGCAATCTTCTTACGTGGAACGCTGGAGGAGAAGATGAAATGTAAGCACATTCGTTGATTTTTCTGTGTGACTCAGTGCATCTGCACATGTTCTTCACACAGATATTGAGTTGTTTTTATATTCTGTACTGCTTACTACTGCTTTTTAAAAGGCTACACATGTGGATTTAATATGCTGCATTTTTGAGACACATTTAAAAGTAATAATTAAACACTGAATAAACATCCCACACATAAAAATGCCCTTTTATTTAACCAGTAAAGTATCTCTAGTCTTCAGACTTTTGAAGGAAGGTCCCGCATTTGGATATTTAGCAAAATGCATGAATGAGTTTTTGGCATGCGGCAAGAGTAATTGGAGAAACCCCACACACGAGAGAATAACATGAAAAGCTCTGTGCATCAATATATGAATCCATTGCATTTCTGCCATCTCTTGGCCAACTTGCAGATAATAGCTTCATTTTTCAAACACTACGGCAGAAAGGCAATCCTTTGCATTGATATGGGGATACTACATCACATTTTCTATCATCTGTGGTGCACCGCGTGAGCTTAAACTTGTATTACCCACAAATCATTGTTTGTGCTGACGCCGTGCGCCATGGATATTGGTAGGAATTAGCCACGTGATTCCATTAATCTGTGAAAAGTTTGCAGATTACAGGGGAAACGTGGAAAACCACTTATGGCTAACTTAATCCACAATACATTTGCAGATTATAATTAAAAAAATAGACCAATAGGTGTATGTTAGTGTATGCTGAATCAATTTCTCTTGGCATTTTTAGATTTAATATTCAAGACAAAAAATTGCTAAAATCTTTTTTTATTAAACAAATTACGTCAGCAGAGGTAGGCTTTGCAACGTAAGTCAAAAAGAAAAGAATTGCAAAATACAAAACAATTAAAGTGTTACTTTGGTGCTTTTCCTGCAGCTGCATCTCTGCAACTCTCCATTAACCCTTCCCACTTAAACGGATCACAGTTTGCAGACCACTAAGCATTTCAATCGCCGGTGTACCACTTGTTACGGGAACAGATGCGAACCACCAATAATCTGTGAAATACAGGGATACACGGATTATTGGACTACAAATTATTGGACATTTGCTGTACTGCGTAAGAACATCTTTCAAACTATATAAATTGTATATCAACCAACATGGATGTTTTTACTTGGATTATGCACACTAACGGAAATCTTCAGCAAGGAATTAACTGATGACATGCATATGCTCCTGTGGACGACAGATTGCTTTGAGGTATACGACCTTAATGGAGATGGGTACGTTTCACGGGAGGAGATGTTCCACTTGCTGAAGAGCAGCTTGATAAAGCAACCATCTGAAGAGGACCCTGACGAAGGCATCAAAGACCTGGTTGAAATCACTCTGAAAAAAATGGTACTTCTTTGATCCTGGCAATGCATAAAAAGTCTGTCCCCATGCTGAAACACGCATCGTGCATGCCCCATATTAGTTGCTGGCTTCGAGTCACTGGTGAAAATTCAACATTGCTATGGCTCAAACCAGTCTCCTTGGAGGACATCCAATGTTGCTTTTTCCACACAACCCGCTGCTCATTTGATCGCCTCAAGGAACATGAGGGCTGGATCGGTGCCCAACTGGGATTTTCACTGGCAACTTCCATTTGTATGGCCACAATGCCATCCAGCTGACTTTTTATTGTGTACACTAAGAGTAAATAACACACACTCCCACCTATGTCACAGCTTAGGGCTTGTGTACTTACTAACCTCGCCTCAAGCGGTGCCCTGTGTTGAAGATTACTGGATCAATGTAATATCGTTTCAGCCTGTGTTGTATTTGTTGTGCTCTTGACATTTCAGGACCACGACCATGACAGCAGACTCTCGTATGCTGACTTTGAGCAGTCCGTCCGAGAAGATAATTTGCTACTGGAAGCATTTGGACCGTGTCTGCCCGATTCCAAAGTACGCAAATAAAACACACCGCTTCAGCAATTCTGATTTTATTATCTTAGCTTTAAACATCCCATTATATCTTATACTAGCTTTACTAGACGGCTTCGCCCAAGACTTGGATTCTTGTCTTGGATTAATGCATGGCTTACGCGGAGGGTTGGGGGGGGGGATGCGTGACGTCGGCAGGCACACTGCGTGATGCTACCGCATGCGGGTGACATCACAGATGTGACATCACAGATGTGACGTCACAGATGTGACGTCACAGATGTGACGTCACAGATGTGACGTCACCGCTCACTTGCCGTGCAAAATATATCCATTATTGCGCCTTTCCCCCCCCAAACCAAATACAAGTCTATTGCTATAATTTTTGCATTGTGTACAGTCTGGAAGCTACCCACATGCCAAATTTCAAGTTTGTTGCATGAACGGGAAGTATGCTAAATATTTCGAACAGACACATATTCACAAATTTTCCTTTGACATATATATATAGATTTCATTACCACATTAAGCATCACCAAGGATCTTGCTATAACAGTGCCCTGTATTTGTAGCTGAGCATTGTGTGGGGGTCATTACACATTACTTGACACATGAGAATCATGCAATAGTGACTAGAGGTCGTCCCACCCACTATTTGCCATATTTGCGTTACACGATATTGTTATGCAAACAATCTTCACCAAATTAACTGCACACCTTTTTTAAGGAAACCATGACCCCAAAAAGAGTACGCACATGAAGCTGTTCGGCGCAGCTGTTAACTTATCGCGGCTACATTTTTTGTGAACAGCAATTACAAATGGGGAGTGTGCAAATATGCTGGACCATGTTTATTATTATTGTTTCTCCTTTCTGTACTCCATGTTGTGAACATTTCTCTACGTTGATTTTTTACGTTTGGAGGAGTATTGATCAGTACAATATAGTAGTCAAGCTGCCTAATAACGGGCAAAACAGTGAAGCTAATTGTCTAATATTAAAACAGCTGTTTTGTTATCCGAGCAAAACGTATTACAGTGATCCTTTTGTGATGCAGAGTGCACTGGCGTTTGAAACTCAAGTCTTCAAAGACAAGAGTAGCAGCTGAAGAAAGCCCCTGAGCAGAGACCCAAGCCGCTTTCTGTGCTTTTACTTCTGTACACTCAAGTAATGTTTACAGGCAGGTGTCGACAACAAATCATGTAATGACCGGCATTTACGAATCCCGATATAATGAACCTTGTCAATGATTGTTTTTTTTCAAGTCTGCACACTAAATATTACAAATATTGCTGTTAAAATGTTGACTCGTATTTTGTCAATAAAACATTTGGCAAGCGAAACATTGTTGCAATGCAAAGTCAAGTTTGGAATTGGATTGCGTTCATCGAAGTTTCTTGCTTGTAGGACATATCTCTGTGTCAGTACGCTGTCATTTAAACGTATTTTAGGATTTGATTTGGTGCTTTCGTGACTGCAGGAATTACTCTTTGTTTTTTTCGGTAAAGTCACTTAGAAATAAGAAATCATAATGAAATAAAATTACATAATAGCATACGACGTTTCGATTGCAACGCAAGCAATTATCATCTGTGCTGCATTATATTGTTTCCAAATTTTACTAAATCTTGTTCAATTTGATGTGTTTCTCCGTCTCTCTGTGTTTCCTCTCTCTCTTAAATTTAGCTCTGTCCCATGTGTGTGTCTCTCTCTGTGTGTCTCTGTGCTGGCTCTCTCTGCTTGGATGTCTGTATATGTGTCTGTGATCTGTACTCTATCACTCTTAACCTATAATTTAGCAATCTTTGAAATGACGTAATCAGCCAGGCCATGCGTTAATTGTGTTTTGACCGACCCTCTGTGCTGCATTATATTGTTTCCAAAATTTTACTAAATCTTGTCCAATTTGATGTGCTTCTCCATCTCTGTGTTTCCTCTCTCCCTTAAATGTAGCTCTTCTATACCTGATGATGATTGCTTGCGTTGCAATCGAAACGTCGTATGCTATTATGTAATTTTATTTCATTATTATTTCTTATTTCTACGTGACTTTACCGAAAAAAAAACAAAGAGTATTTTAGGATGTTTAGGTTTTTAGTGTGGTCATTTTGTTACCAGTTGATTAACTTTAGAAGCACATGGATGTGATAATCTCAACATGTATGTTCGCTGCATACGAACTAGCAAAATCTCGCCGATCTTGAAAGTGGCAATATATTAAATAATCATCACAGGCTGATGATGAAATGTTACCTGCATTGGATCGGCAACGACCGCCCATATAGTTGCCACAAGGTGGCAGTGTTTACACAGTAAAAGTGTTATGAACAGACATTTCATAACGTGGGTGTCCCATTGCTTCTGGCCAGTGCTTTAAAAATATGCACATGCAGCCCTAACATTGGAAATGTATGAAAGGCGAAGGGAATCTGGCAGGACCTCTTGAATACAAATCAACCATGGAGTAAGTCCTATATTTGCGCCTCCATTGAATGCGATGAAACCCTAAGATATTTCCCAGAAAGACACGTCTATATATACGATCTAACCCAAAAAAACCCTGTATTTTGGATGATATTGGTCGCGAAAGCCTACGTGTTAAACGAATTTTCCAGCAACATTGTAGCATGGATCAGCTTCGCACTGAATGGCATATGCTGGTAGTTGAAGCAGAGTTAAGCCCCTTAATTAGTGCAGGTAGTGTTGTAAAAACAGCATTTGCAAAAGAGCGTCCACTATTGTACTCATTGCTCGGTCATACGTTCCCTATATTAAATGTACAGGGTGCTTAAAAAAATGTGAACACATCCGAGAATTTGCAACAATACCACATGAAATGTGCTGCTGCCTCCGGGCTCTGGAGACCACCTGGAGAAGATTCCAGGCCACGTGTTGACAATGATGGCGACCAAGTGGAGACTCTGACTTTTTGAAGTTATTAACATACATTTGTTATCATGTTACAATGTATTAGCCGTTCTTTTCCCATTAAAAATGATAGTCCCATATAAGTTGTAACATTTTTTTGAAGGACCCTGTATTATATGTGTTTTCAGACAGCTGATAAATATGTATTTATTTATAAATCCATACCATAATACCATGGAAGTAGCAATAGCCATGTTTTTCTATTACACAGCAATCGAATTCCCAGCACTTCCCAGGCAGCAGTGTTTATTATGCCGTGTTAAGGCTGTGGGTTCACGATTCCCCACTGGCCTTGATGAACGATTGTTAACGTGGCATGAGCGCTGGGTGAATAACGGTCCACGCAAATTGTTGGCCTCTTTGAATAGAGAAAACAATGTTTGTGGTTTTAACCTGGCCAAGTATTCAGAAACAATTTGAAGTCCCTCCCCATGTCAAAGTAGCTTTGCGAGTGTTGCGCTGCATTCATGAAATCACCACCAATTGTGCACTTGATATGACCCTTTAAAATGTTTTCAATTACAGGGTTAGGGTATGCAACTGCGTTGACATTAATAAACTGTGTTAGCTATAGTAATAGGTTTTACCCTTTTAACTGGCACAAAAACTGACACCTTTATTCAAGGCATCATGTTTGCAATAACCACAACACAAGCAGTCAAAATGTAAACAAAAGAGACAACTCTGATAATAATATGCACTCTCCTTGAATTTGGTTGTGTTGTGGTTATTGCAAACATGATGCCTTGAATAAAGGTGTCAGTTTTTGTGCCAGTTAAAAGGGTAAAACCTATTACTATATCTTGTTACTAGCAAAAGAGGTATCATAATGTGTTAGCTATGTTACCATGTCCAGTTGCTACAAAAGGCATTGGCTGAGTTCCGGTATTGGCCCATTCCCTGCATGTTTAGGCTTTTTAGTGGCTGGGTGCTGTTAACCATCCTGCTAAATGCATAGGCTACATCAATTATCCATCCTGTCAATGATGTTCTCAAAATGTAGTTATTCACTAAAAATGTAAACTTTAAAAGTAAATGCTACATGCGGTGTTATTTTCTGGGATGTCAGAGAGCGTATGAGAAACGGTGTCTTGTATGGCCCTGCCAGTTTCTGGGACTGTGTTCAATCGTCCACGAACATCTGCATTGAACTTCAGGAGAAGACTTGGAAGCCTCCTGTGGTCTATCATCAATAACACAAGCCTTGCACTTCCATATGGACCTAAGCGCTTTGGTCATTATATTTTCATTTGAAACGTAACTTAAAAAAGCACATTGACGACCCACCGCGTGTGACTGAGATGAATCGCACAGAAGAGTGGTAGGTCTTGGCTTCCATCAACAAAGAGGACGCAACTTCAGTGGCGTCAGCCTGCAGTCTACTCCATAAAACCTTGTCACTCAATATGCTCGCCGACAACTCTTCTGGGCCATAAATCAAACAATTCGAGTTTGACATGCCTTCAAATGTTCTCAGTTTTCTTTTTTTTACGGACACTGGCAGAATATCTTTCAAATGTTTTACCGCACTACTTCCCACGAAAGTTGTACTTTTCATTTTACATAAAATTTGAGGGATGTTTGGACAGTAAACTTAACTGCTTCTAGGATTTGAACTTACAACCTTTTGGCACAATATTAGTATAATTTCAGTGGAATATTTGAAATATTAATTGTGGTAGCATTTCTATAAAATATAAACATAAAGGCAGAATCCTAAGAAAAATGCATTAGAAAGGATGGAAAACGTTAACGTTGTTTACTGAAACCCATTCTACATGGGAGATAAGCCGATGCACCACACATTGGCGCTGATGGATACTCCGGCACTGTCGTTTATATACCAATTGCCAGACGGACTTCAGTGCAGTGACCAACATGCCGTTTCTGATGGCAGAGATAGAGTCAGTGGCACCGCTTAACAAACGTGTAACAGCTGGTACTAAAATCCATCCTAACGCACGTAGTATTTGAAAACCATTAGCACTGCACGTATTATTTTTGGATTATCAACCACGGCTTGAAATAGCAATGATTTGCTTTTGAGTGCAAGTGTTTTCGTAATGACCTGACCGCTCAAAAGGCTCTGGCATCACAAAGGGAGACTTAAAAACATGCATTTACAAAAAAGTATTGACAGAAACAATGCACTTGTGCAAAGGGCTCCTTGTATACAAACTGTGTGCATGGTGGCTGAAGCCCCAAAGTGGATTTGTGCAAGGCCCGCCCGCCTATTACTGGTGAGCTTTCTTGTGAGCTGCGTTGCTCTCTAAGTGAAAGCTGCGGCCTGAGCCCATGAAGGGTCTCTCGGGGCCACATTACGACAGTTCAAAGATGGCCATCGGCCCTATCGTTGGCTCCCACTGAGGGCCCCTAAAACCAAGAGTGCCAGGACACTGCCCTGTAACGTAACGGCCTCAATCTCAGCGATAGGGTAGCCTTTAATGTAGCAGCCTAATGGGTTACCCTGCACCAAAGTAGCGCAAGCATTGCCTCTCATAAATGTCTAAATGCGCGTCATGTGCCCCAGACTGGCAGACTTGCTTCACTCCATGAGCGGCACATGTGACGAGACTACAGGGTTAATGCTGTATTGCAGGTATCGGCAGTTGATGAGGAATGCGCGTTAAACACGTTTCATCATCGACAATAAAAACACCACTCATGGCAGATGTATCTTCCATAGGAAGACGGTATCTGCACACACTGGGACAGAAGTGGCTCCTGCTCAGTATTCTACCAGCCATTTATAAGCACACCGCAACATGAGCTTAATAACGTTCTACACAATGACACTAAGTTATTATTTTGTGTTGTAAAGTTGACCATAATATGAAAATTCCATCAATCGACGTTCATGGTTTTTGCTAAATTTAAGGGAATGCTTTACAATTCTGTATTTAAAGTTGGTCCAAGGACAGTTTCTGTTTCATAGTTCGTTTTACTTTTTAAACGTTGACTTACTAAATATTTTAACACAAATGTGTAGCTTTGATCCACCAGGTTGAATCGACTTACGGGTAAACCGGCCTGCCAAAAACATCAACCTTTTCATGATAATTTCTGCGCGAATCCCAAGTGATTTATTCCGCGTTTGGCTCAGTGGCCTCTCTTCCACGTGTGGAAAAATGCTTAGGAGGCTCTTCGGCAAAGCGAGCGTCGTGCCGTGGGCGTTTATAGGAGGCCTAACGAGAAAGGCAGCCCGGGTTTCCTGCAGACACTAACGGACACCAGGGAAATTCATCAGTCCAGAGCAACATCATCACTGGCTGTTGTGGTCCAATTATACGTGATCCTTGGATTGATTAATTAGCAATTAAATCAAAAGCGCGTATGGGTTCGCAATTGGTGTTTGTATTTATAGTCTCTGATTTTAAATACTCCTCAGTCCTGGGATGAGTCCTGGGATAGAGTGAGGGAAAAAAGTATTTGATCCCCTGCTGATTATGTACGTTTGCCCACTGAAAAAGAAATGATCTGTCTTT